AATCATTTTGAAGATATTCTGCACAGCTCTTATCAACCCTGGTAAAGATGAGAAAAACATCTATTAATATCATATGGACCAATTCTGTCATTAATTTAAAGAAACATCTAGTCTCCTCCATCACACTTGAGTATAGGTATTAAGTGTTTTCTGTTTAGCCGGAAAGCTTAATCAAAGTGCAGTTTGACCACCGGGTAGATACAGGTTTAGATACGTACAATCTAAGCGTTTAGTATCACCCGTGATTAGATCCATAATTTTTAGGCTCTTTTTGGAATGCTAAATTGGATCTACATAGCATCTAATAGTTGTCATAGAGCCTTGATGGCCCTAAAATACCTCAGGTCTCATAATAAGGTGTGGAAATTTTTACTTTTCTATTCACTATTTCATCCCCTTTCCCATGTATGAAAATAAAAGAAACATGTTTTATTGTCAGTGTTGTTGTTTTTCACAGACTATAAATGCAGGTACATCTACAATAATTAGGTAATTATCCTGTTATACTTAAAGAAAATTATGCCGCTTGAATTTCCTAAAATCAAAGGAAGATTATTTTCTTATTGCTGGTTACAAATAATTTTAAAAAAAAATGTGTAACTTTAATTATTATTTGAATACCAACATTCTTGTCTGGAAGATAAATGTTGAAACTTTCCTTGATTAAAATTATAATTTTATTTATCATTTAGTATGTTTAGTCATTGAAATAGATGATTTCTTTGTTTTCCCTTCATTTTCTTCCCCCTTTTAAACAGATGATTCAAACATTAGCCTCCTGCTGTCTGCTCTTTCCTAAAGCTTTCGAGCTGCAGATTCACAAACTAAAGCATTTTTATTCATTTATTGCGATAATGATGATTTGCTGCACTTTATTTGCACATTGAAGAGAGAAAATTTGTTCTGATTTGAAGAGTGTTTAAAGGTTAATTTTCAATACTCAGAAAAAGATAGCTGTCTCATGCATACCTAGAATACTACAGTATGGTTTGCATCAAGTTGAAATGTTGCGTGTTAAAGTCATTGTCTGTTGCAGGTATGTTATTAATCTGATTCCAACAGGAAAGTGTGGGTTGTTGTTTTTTTTATATATATATATATATATATATATATGGTGCTCAGGAGAAACCACGCATCAGATAATAAAACAAATAGTAGCCCTGGAACACAAAGATCTAATCACAAGAACAGATTAAGCTCTAAAACATTGAAAGGCTTATGAAATTTGATTTGATCTGCACATGCCTTTTTGCATTTTTAAACATGCAGAAAATTTATCTGAATCATTGCCCAAACCCACTGGCTCCTTTTTTTTTTTCTTGTACAGTGAATTAATAATTTTTCTAATTTGTCGTACAAAATCTGTAATTATTACAGTAGTTTCCATCTGCTGCAAAGAGTTAACTTCCTACCTCAGGTTTGAATAAAGTACATTTTTGAGAAACGGAGCATACTGTGAATAGGTTTTTATAAAATATCTTATATTTGGAGAAATAATAATGGCACTTTTCCATTGGTACCAACTCTGTTCAGCTTGTCTGGATTTGTGCTTTACCATTGCAATTGATTTCCACAGCAAAGTGGGCACAATCATCATATTATTAAGTCTGATTCACTTGTGCTTATATCACTGTCTGTGTGTGATATAAGCAAAAACTTACAAGCAAGTACCTTTGGCATAGTTTTTGGCTTTTAAAACTAACATAATTAAAAATTATAATTAATAGCATATCTGATTTCAAAATGACTATGCAGAATATATCATATAATTATGTCAGAATGAACACAAGCATATTTACATCCAGATGATTATGTTGAATAAATAAAAAGTAATATATTTTTCTTTACTTGTGCTCAATCTGGATCAATATGTTTGATTTTGCTGAGGGTTTAACAGTTTTCTCTGGCTCTGATTTGTGTCCATAAATGTGGGTGGATTTTTCAGCTCCATGCATGCAGAAAGCCTCATTGAAATGTGGGCAGACTGTGAGTCACTGCCCAGAGTCTTATTTCTCATTGAAGCTTTTTTAGAAGCAGGTTTGCCTATATGAATTTGGACTGGAATCATGGGCAAACACAAATTTAGCACCATATAATAGCTTTGAACATCTGTCCATGGTCTCATTCATATTCAAGAAATACTCTGACAGTAGTGAGACTGGCCTGGCTGTGCAGCGGTTCAGCTGGAATGAGAAAAAGGCTTAGATGAGGCAATATTTACACGAAGAGGATGTATTGGGAAATATGTTTATGTGGTGGCTCTTTTTAGAAGGTCAAATAACTACCATGAAGTAATTAATGTGCTATTGTTTTCCTTTTCTTTTGGGCAAATAATGAGATTATATAAACTATAGAGAAAAAAAAGACTTAGTTGCCTTCCTCAATATTGTATTCTGTAGTCAAATTTTTCGTCAACTTGACTACTGTTTGTTTTGGGTGACTAGTATATCACCAAAACAACAAATTGATCACATAGATGACTTTGATTATTCTGATCATTACTTGGCAGGCTTAATGCTATTTTCAAGTGTAGTTAAATAAATAAATTAGGTAAAACTGTGGAATTCAGGGCTTTAAATCTAATCTGTAACTATGTTAATAGAGGTCTTAGAGGAAGGATTTGTATGTTTGGAGCATGGCATGGAACTGGAAAAGTCTTCAGCTCGGTTTTTCTCTTCGTAGGTTTTTATTTCATTGTTTATCTATAAATAGTTTACCACTGTTAAAGAACCTCCTCAATATGTGTTCCAAGCCCAGGCTGTTGTTTGCAAACCTCTTGATGTTTAGGTAAAAATTTGTCTTTCAACTTAAATAATTTAAAGGATGCATATGTTCGCTTTTAAAAAAAAAATCTAAATGACAGAGAATACTTTAATAGACTAATATACTGGAGCTTTCTTTATATGTTACAAAACAAACCATGAAATCCTAAATTTGTTTCCATGAATACAGCTGTGCCATATAATAATAATAAATCTTTTTATCTTTTTCCTCAGTTCTTTAAGTTATCTCCACCCCTCTTAACACAGAAAAAAAACATCTTGTTTTTCAGGTTAACGCCAGTTTGAAAAGTTCAGAAAGTTTGACTTTCAACTGAAAGTCTGAATTACATGTTTTAATAACATATTCAGCCTTGGGCTTTTGATGTTTCATTCAGCTGCATCAAAAAGTGTCCTTCACACCGGTTTGCTGGGATAGAGAAGACCTTTAAACCTGTTTATACTGTGCCTTCTATGTTATTCTGAGTGGTTTTCATGGATGGTTTCATAAAGCCAGGTAGCCTTCGGTCCTCTCCCACATTAAAGGATTAAAGGCAGGTTTGAGCAAGTTTTGAGCTTGCACTATTTAAGCTCAAATAGTCAAAATATGCATTATAATTTCTCTAAATCAAAAACAGAAGATAATTGATTTTTTACTAATCAATATACACTGTGACTATATACACTATAACTTAAAGTAAAGTTGTTGTTTTTTGCTTCCAGTAGTCCTTATCATTGTTGAATTGCCTTAGTAAAGATTTTTTTCTTTTTGATGATTGCACACAAAACAAATATGTTTCCCAGCAAAGTTTTAAAAGTTGTTGCTGGGAAACAGCATAAGCTCTGTGTCTGCACCTTGAAGCTTTCTCTCTCCAGTTCTTTTTCCTGAAAAGAGATCACTCGGGACAAACTCTTTAAATAACACTTCATATAGGAGACCAGGAGACATGACAACAGATTTTTTTATAGAAATTGTAATCTTACTCAGATCAGAGAAGTTGCTTGGAGTTACAAAAGGCAGCTCTTATAAGTGGCTCTTATTACCCAGCAACAATTAGAGCCAAGAGCTGAGGGCGTCTCTAATGGTAGATTAAGTTAATTTTAGATGAGGTTAATAGCAAAAGGACATCTTACATGACAAATGCAGAGAAATATTAAAACATTAGTGGAAATAACCTGCATATCAATTCGAATAACTTAAAAAACTAGATTAACAACTGAAATATTCTTTCAGGTTTATAAAGTTTTGACCGAATTCCTGCATTTCTAGATTTTCTGAGCGCACTCAGCAAATATACTGTTAACAGGTTTGATCTCGTATGTCTTTTTTCTTTTATCAGCACTGGTTTTGTAAGGCAGATGCTTATTATATGATTGGACAGTAATAAATACTGAACAATGCAAAAAATTCTCCCTTCCTGTAAGTTTAAATAACACATTTAACATAAATGTTGATGATTTACAATATATGTGTATATTTAGTTTGCTTTGTTAAGATAATTATCATTGATGATGTGTTAAGTTTATTACACCTTAATATTAGCTGCTTGTTGCGTGTCAGAACTGATGTTTTCCCCAGTAATTTATCTAATTAAGACAGTTCCTCTATCCGGATATACAGTTATAATCTTCATTCTGAATGTGGCAAAGATTTGGGAATGGAATGAGAGCGGCGTCCTTCAGCAAAGAACAAAGTGTAATATTTTGATAAGGCTGGAGACATGGATGTCTCCTCATCTGCTAATGTGTATGATGTAATGATGTGATGATGTAGCAGACTGGAGTATAAAATGATTCTCTAACTCTTTATGATGGTGTTCATATTTAGACTACAATCAAAAGAAACATTTTAGTTAAATTAAAAATGTGCTTTAAATCTAAATGATTTAGGTGAATTTAATACTTTAGGCCTAATTAAACTGAATAAATAATTTATACACATTATTACAGATTTATTAGCATTAATTAAAAAAAACCTTGCCGAAACATTTCCTGTAATGTTTTTGTTTTAATCACGTTAACATGATCCTGCTAATAAATGCGATTTGAGCTGCTGTTTATCTGGGTTTGCTTTAAGCTCTCTGCATTTCAGGATTCCAACAGTCCCTCTGTCAACAGTTTTTTTGGTTTTTCAGACATAGCATGAAAACAGCTCTTATTTTCTTGTCTCTGTAATGATGCAGCACCTGCTTTCAGTGACCTTTAAAGTGTTGAGCAAATGTTTGTCTCTCATCCACACAGAAGCAGTTTGTCTTCGGGACTGGCTGACGTCTCGTTTCTGCCAGACTCTCCGCTCGCTCGGCCGCTGCCGCCTGCCAAACATGCAAATCCAGTGTTGCAAGACGTGCAGTCAGCGTGGCAGCATCAGCAGGGTGTTTCGCCACTGAGGTCCCAATATCTCCTGGGCTGCATCCATGGGGTAAAAAAACAACAGGTCATTACAGGGAGTCAACCACTGGGGAGCTCTACTGAACAACAGATAAATGAACAATCAGGCACTGAGACACGTGCAGCACAAGAGGCTGATGTGCAGTACTGAAAGCAACAAACCAAGAATGTAAACATTTGTTTGTACTTTTTATGTAAGACAATTTGACGACGTCCGTTTGGCAGAATTAAGTGTTTTTACATAAGATTAGATCCTTCCAGTGTACCCAGCTACAATGCATTAATACACATATAGATAAACTGCAAATTAATCTTTTAAGTTGTAATTTTATTTTTTTTAGTTTAATGGTGGCTGCGGAATCCTACAATGTACAGATCAGTGGTTTTCCGTATGTGGTACAGGTGCTGGGGAAGCAAAACATATGGTGCATAGCTGATACCAGAGACACTATTTCACTAAGTCCTATGCTTTTGGCATCTTTTTTTTCTTTTTGCTATTATGGTAGCTTTTGGTTTATGGTTTAAAATCCTCTTCATGAAACTGGTATTCAACAGCGTCTTCAGCCAGAGGCTACTTCAGAGCTGTAAGCCAGACCGTTACACACCTATCAGCATCACTCTGTAAAGGAGCCTTTTCAATTCATTTAAGTTAACACATCAGGGTCTAACTGGGAAATCTTTCAGAAGCTTTCCAGAAACATATATATCATAGAAAACCTTTAAAAAATTTTTCTTTTTTGATTTAAAGTTTGAAAAAGGCCCAAGTGGAACCGTCATATTATTCCCTATATGAAGCATATGTAAAAGGAATGGCTTACCATGTGTAAACAGAGCCTGAACCTCACATTAAATCCCTGATTCCAAATGCATTCCTACTATCTGTTTCAATTTGCATGTTTTCTAAACAAAATCAAAGCTTTGTCAGGCTACTGTATAAAACGTCAAACTCAACGCTATTTCTGACATATGAATTGAAAAAGCGAAATGTCTTCAAACTTAGAAACAAAGTCAAGTGGATATATATATATATATATATATATATAGTATATCACTAGAGAAAATGTGCTGCTCTATTTTTACAAACTCCCATCTTAAAGAGAGTAGTTGAAGCTCTGAAGGCACACTTTCACCTCAGGAATATTTTCAAGATGCTGGTGTTGAATTCTGACACTGTTTACTCCCCTGAGTTTCCATTTTATTCACCTGGGTAGAAATATTTGCTCTAAACAGGCCCTAGTAGGGAGATGATAGTTTTGTTTTTTTTATTCAGCAGAAAGTTTTGGATGAATTTTTGAACATGGGATTGCTGAGAATGTGGAATTAGTGTGTTTTTTAAATGTTAAATCAGTTATATCAAGAGTTTTCAGCTCTTACGTTTTACCTTTAACATGTTTTAATCTTATGTTTCTTTTCAGTCGGCAAAGGAAGGAATTACTCCTGTGTTTAAATTCATATTTCGAAATTTCATGTGACGTTTATGACTAGAACACCAGGTTTCATTTCTGACTAAATCCGAGTTTCTAAAAGCTGAAAGGGACCTTAGTAATTATTTGTTTTAGCTCTCATCTTATAGGTTGAGCTGGATCACTAGTTGTGTTGAGTGTAAAGATATGATTTTTACTGCTGACTCTGTGTTTTCTCCAGTCAAACAACTCAATGAAAGGCTCACTGGTCCAGGGGATTAGAATTAATGTTAACTTTGCTGTTTTTTAGCAAGCAGATATAAAGATTATAGCAGTTGAAAGAGCATATTGCTAAGCCTCAATTATAAACATCTGGTTATTTTGGTAATTGATTCTTATTATGAGCACCAGAGTTCTTTACATCTGAAATGGAAAGAATGGAGCTGAATTTAAATCTCAAAATGGAAAAATAAGTTGTCATCAATCATCATTGTTGAGGTGTATTATTGAAAAAGCTCACCCATTAAACCTCATAAAATTCTCAGAATATTGAAAATGCCATCATAAGTCACTGTCTTGGAATCAAGTAACCAATAGAAATATCTCCAGGGCTGAAACCTGGAGAATCTGATTCAGACGAAGAATAAGGCTTCATTTTCTATGTCAAACACTTTACAGGACTCTGGGACAGAAAATATTAACTTAATAGCATAAAGCTTAAAAGTTAGAACTGGTATTATTAGGAACTAACATTAAATCTCTTTGTTTCTCATCTTATTTGTTGTTTTATGGCTCCAGGCCACATTGTGAAACGCATTTTGTTGTTATTTCATAAGGACCAGACGCAGCACTTGTGTTATAAATCTTGCCTGTGTAACTCCTGTTTGCAGTAGTGCTTAGAAATGTCCAGCAGCATATTTTAGAGGCCTTTACAAACATAAACCTCTACTTTAAAACAGCGTTTTTAAGTCAACGCTGATACATGGGAATTTATTTGCAAAAAAAGAAAAAACCTCTTTGTATGGATAAACTTTCTGTCCATCAGATACTTCTTCACAGTGGTTTTCTTGAGAAAACGAGTTAATTTTCTCATTATCTAAAGATAACTAAAGCCGTTTTCTCTTAATAACGAGATGATTGGTCTGTGTTAAGAGTGATTACGTCCTTCAATACCACAACAGCTGGAGAGGATTTGTAAGTATAAGTCATGGCAGCATACGTATAATTCTATAAAAAATTCTGTGTTTAACATTTAGGTTTGATGATTTGCTTTCACTTCTGATTCATAAGCAATTAACCATATGCTTAGAGCAGGGTGTATTCTGAACAGCCCCGGTTACGCCTGTAACAGGTACAAGATGAATTAACCCCCAAAATGAGTCCAGAATAAATATTTTCATATAAAAAACATTCAGATTTGTTTCTACTGTATTGCATGTAATCCAATCATCCATTACAACCTGACAATGACTAAAAAGAAATAGGAAACAAAAAAAAACTGATTATTTGCCGCGGCACCCCGACTGCACAACTACGGGCACCGCAGGCATAGATGGACTAGGAATCCAGGGCTGTTGGCCAGCCTCATTCATTACTCAAACAGGTTAATCATCTCGTTATCTCAACAAATCAATAACTACTTTCTCATGATAACAAGATAATTACCTCCTTAGAGATAATTATATCTCTAACAGAGATAATTATCTCGTTATCTCGAGAAAACAATTCATTGTTTAACCATGATAACAAGATAGTTATGTCATTATCTCAAGAAAGCAGGGGGGGCGGGGGGCGGGGGGAGTCGAGTACGACCGCTCTCGGCTTCTGTATTCTGCCTGTGCTGTGATCTACAGAAACCTAGAAGACCAGAAAGGAAAAGTGAGACAATCCCTAAGGAATCTAAACAGTCACTTAAATGCTTACATGTACAGAATGGTCATGTTCTCCATACACAATCCTGTTTTCTAATAGAACCCTTAAAGTGTGCCTAAACTCAATTTAACACCATAATACTGCACCCAGACAAATGTTAACCGATGCTTCTAAATTAGGGAGGGGTCCCAGGATGATTTAAGGAGGTTAAGTATTGGTGTGGTAAGGATTAAGGTAACTAACATTGAATTTAATATGACTTGATAAGCTAAGTACCTAAAAAAAACAAAATGCTATGCTGAATAACATAATAAAAGCCTCAGTTGAAAAATGCTTTTGATATTCACTATACTCACAACAGCAGCCCCTGACCAGCCACAGTGGCCTGTGTCTGTGAGGTGGTTTTATGGTGCAGACTGCCTCTGTTCTGGATAAAACCTGGTGAAAATAAGCACACATGATCAAATTATTTTTTGCCGATATAAACCGTTTATTCGGACTCCTTTGTTTTTTTCGTTGCAATCCTAATACATTTCAATTCGATCAAGGCATTTTGTGCATAAAACATGGCTATGCACCAAGCCTAGCTGTTAACCTATAGAGATTAAGGCTAAAGTGTTTTGAGTATTGCGGAATAAAAGAAATGTCAAGATTTTTACAGCAGAGGTATCACCCTTAAGGCCCAAATTATACGCTTTATCTGCAAGGAAAAGTGTATTTGGGGTTTAAGTATTCACTAAAACAAGCACCAGCTCAGGTTAAGCACTGGAAGCTTAAGTGGATATGAATATAAAGGAGTCGGAGGAATCTAGATGCCAGGATTACAGTTAATCAGATAGACTGCAATCAAAAAAACATCTGGCTTCATTTCTAAAGCTCTGGAGCTTTTCACTGTTTTTATGAAGCAGAAACTAATCGCTGTAGTAAAAAATGCTTTCAATATGCTTTGGTCTCTCTGAGTCTTTACATGCCAAGTTATCCTCATTCTGTTGTTTCTGTCATTTTTCTCCCTTAGGAAGAACAGCAGATTTGTTGTAAAGGTGTAATAGAGCATCCACAGACTGAGGGTGGGCTTGTTAGCTCTCTGTTGCAGCTTATTGAAAACCTTCATCATATTGTGTTGGATTACATTGTTACATTTTGGCTTTTGCTTAAAAAAATGCTTCAGGAAATACTTGGTGCTAGGAGCTGCTCAGGCTCCCCTCATTCTGGTGTCAGTATCAGGTATTGGCCGGCCCGGTGCCTTTTCTACTTGAGCGGTGAATCGTCTGATGTTTGTAATCTTTGTTAAACTTGTCATTAAAAGTCAATCTTGAATGTTGTTTTAAATGAGTAAATGTTTCACAAAAGCACAATTATGCTACATTTTATTACATCATATAAGAAAAGTTAAAGGATAAACACAGCTAAAGTCTTTCATGTTTTCCTTTCTGTCTCTGCTTTGAAAATGACTAATTTCTTTTATACCGATGAGATAGCAGTGGTACCTTCATGTTTCTATATTTGCTCATTTTTAACATTTGGCATAAACCAAACATGATGAACACATATGCCTCTCATAGATGTAGTTTGACCTCTTTGTACACCTCTGCAGAGAAAATAATTTTCAATAAAAATAAACTGACTGTCTATTCCTTTTTTCTTGTTCAGCATCCATCACAAAACAAAGGAAATTCACAATTTTTATAAAACTGTCCCGCTCGCTGCTCCTTTTTTGTTGTTTCTTATATAACATCTCCATGGAAGCTTTGCCATAGAGACTAAGAATTAATCCGATAAGGAGAAAATGTGATTCATGTCAGTACATGCTCTTATCAGTCAGCAGCATGCATGAAGAATATAAGATCAAACTCACAGCTGGAGTTTAGGTACAGCCTACATAGCTTTTATTAGCTGCAATAAATAAAAGTGTGATTTTACATTTACTACTTCTATACTATGTTTAATGCAAATAAATTAGTCATAAATATGTAACTATGTCATCATCTGATATTTTATAATCAATCACAATATCTGCCAAATGAATTCAGTCAGAAAATTCATTTCCATTTGTTTTAATATATTATTACAGTATATTCCCAACAGAGATGTATTTTTACATCTAGAAATCGATTTGCAGCCAGTAAAACAGAAAATGAAAAACATGTTCCCTGCAAAGATTGTACTTTATTAAACACATCATTTTCCACATTTGCACACAAACAGATTCCTAATTTAAAAGTTAAAACAACTGACTGCACTTAAGGTGAATTAGCTGCTCCCAGACTGCTCAAACATTATATTTTAAAACCACTTAAACCACAGAATGTTTCAACTCTCATTTCTGTTTCCACTCCAGGACAAACGATTGTGGTTGTTTGCATACATTCTGGTTGTGGAAGGGTTGGGCATTAATGAACACCCTTTTGCATTCAATCTTATCAGCTAGACACCTGAGGACCTGGTTCTGTCTCCACGTGAAATTGACTTCATTGAGGCTGGTCCTACAGCCAACCCGGATTTTCCTGGGTGTTGCAGGGGTTGTACAGAGAGGGCAAGATAGATCCTTTCCAAGTCACAGATGCAGCGGGATCATAAGTAGCTCGAATAATAAAGCTCAGCTTGTGGGCTTCTAGGCCCCAGAGGTTGCTCCATGTGAGTTTTTTCTTTTTTTTCTTCTTCTCAGCACCCTCATCCAGTGGTGCAGTTCTACTTCATATTATTGACAGACATTGGAGAATAATTCAATTAAATACATTTTATTCATATAGCGCCAATTTACAACACTGGTCATAGGGCACTTTACTGAGACAATTCAACCAGATAATTCAGTCAGATTGGTTGAAAGTTTTCTATCTAAGGAAAACCAGTTGATTGCATCGACTCATTGATTCGAAGGCAATCCCTCAAACTCCCTTTTAACAAAGAAACCTCCAGCAGAACCAGGCTCAGTGTGAGCGGCCATCTGCTGAGGCTGACTGGGGTTCAAGGAGACAGGCGACCCCGTCCAGGAAACACACAGCGAGGCAGACGAGCTCCAAGCCAGCTCCAATGTCAGAGGATGAAGAGAGCACATCCAGCCAGTTACAGTCAGAGAAACAGGACTACACTGAAAAACAGGCCAGGCTCCAACATCTATAAACAAAGGTGCTGATGACAGCAGCACAGCTGATATTTCTCTCCAGGATGGAGTCACGGCCAAACAGGAACACAGATTAGCCAGAACAATCTCTTATCCCAATGGTAGAAGTGAATCTAAGCCTTATCAGCAGCCTCTTTAGATACTAGCTTGGGTTACAAGGTAAACTTTTCTAAATTTGTGAATTTTTTTTATGTTTTTCATTTTTGTAACTTTTTCCAGTTTCCTCAATTATTTATATATATATGAATATATATATATATATATTTTTTCCCAAATGCATCACTCTGTTCCAGGACCCGCAGGTCATCCCAGAAGCCGGTAAGAGAGAAGGCCAACTACCTTCTTAAGAGTGCCAAAAAAGAAAAAGAAAATCTTGCTGGATCTCAAAGCTGATAGGACTGAAATTGCAGAAGTTAATATAGAGGCGTTTCAGTGCGGTAGCATGAACAGTAGGTACCATCTTTTCCTGTCCTGTCGTCCTGATTTAGCTTGTTTGATGATTTAATGAGCTCATTTCTTTTGTGTGTTTACCAGAACCCTATCATCCCAAATTACCAAATTAATCACTGAGACTCTTTAAACTCCCAATAGATCAGTAAAACGTTTGATAAAACTTAAAGCTTTAATCAGCTTAGGCTTTATTTTGGAAAGTTATTTTCCAACGAAGAAACTCCCTGTAGCAGTATTGTAGAAATGGCGCTGGCCTATTTTTGTGTTGTTTGTGTGTTTTAATTCAATAAATCTTCATAAAATTAAAGTAACAAACCAAATTGATATTGTGCGACTAAAGGGACTGATGCATAAAAAATATTTTTGCAAAATTAGGGATCCCCTTTTTATTTAGAGGTGTGATAAACATACATCCTTTTTGACACATTTATGACTATTTTTTCATATTTAAGAATATCTTAATCCTGCTTCAAATTCTCCATCTATCCATCAAGTCAGCTTAGAAATGTTATGAGGCTCATTTGTTCTATAAAAAAATTTTTTATCAGCCAACATGGCAAAATGAAGGCAAGAGTAAAACGCCAAAAAGGCACAGCTGTAGCATACTGATAATTAATAGTTGTGAAATTATGTGATTATTTCCTACCGTTTGTATTTACACTTAGCACAGAGATTAAAAATGATTATTAACCCCCTAAAGCGATATAATGATCTTATCTTATAAAACCTCCTTAAGAAGCACATAAACTTGTGTTGCCAATTATCTTGTCCCACAGAGATAAAGCCAAAGGAATTCCAGCTTTCTGTGAAATACAACTTTTCCTCTGATACAGTTAAAAATTTTGTTAATTGTAATTTATTTCCTTTTTTGAGGTGTTTAAAGAAGCAGTAAAAAAAATGTGTTTTTCTTCAACATGTATAAAAATGTCATATTTTCATGGTGTAGTGTGGGTAAAGCTGACTGATGGCTTCCAGTATTGTTTTTCAATTCTCATAAGTGAAAACAGCAAAGATCTCCCTTTACCAGTGGTGGCAGGTCAGTAGAGGGTGCTAGTGCGGCACCCCACCCACCCAATGACCTTGATTAAGACATATAAAAACAAATAAAAATATAATTACAAAAAATAAAAATATATAAATATATCTTTTAGATGTGCAAGATACATATTTAATCTTTAATGACCAGTACAGCTGTTTCGTTTTTCGAATTGATGACGCATTTCTGCACTGGGCGCAAAAATCTTTGGCCATTGACTCTAGTTAAAAGTTGTACATGCGCAGTAGGTCCTTTGCAATACAAAAAGATAGGAGAGAGCTGACAGGAATTTATGTCACAATCAAATTTTGGCTGATCAACAGGGCAAGTCCTGGAAGTGAAATCCCTTAAAGCAAAGTTATCAAACTTACCCGTTTGGACCTGATTAGCCGAAAATCTAAATTAATCAGCAGTCCAAAGGACAGATGGAGATAGGACACTCTGTCTTTTTCCAGGACCTCGTTGAGCTACAAGGCTTGGCTAACTGCATGCAGCAAGGCTAAAGCTTTATTCTTCTTCCTGCCTCCTTTTTAAAAACGCCAGCTTTGATAAAGACAGCTAGAACTGATTAAAGCACTATTTAGAAAAGGCAAAGAAGAAAAAAAAATCTGGGATTCACATGGAAAATAATATAATATAGTCTACTTTTTCCAGATGTTTGTTAGTTACTGCATAGTTACTCTAGTTTTTATATATTGAAACAAATAAAGCTGAGTAATTGCTTCTCACTTATTAAACTGGTGCATTCGTTTTTTTAGGTTTGTGACAGAATACCGGACCATCTAAAAAATAGATTTGCTTTCGCAAAGCACAGAAGGGCACAATTTCTGTACAAAAAGGTAAACATGTACGTGAAATTATGTTTTGTTTTTATAAAGTGTTTTTCATATGAATATACTGGAGTAATAACTTTGTCAAATTTGAGCAATCAAAAGAATACTAAACATATAGCCCACCCCTACCAACCTCCACCCTCCTTTTTAGAAAATTATTAAAGTATCAGAAACAGAAAAATTTCTGAATTTGTACTTGTGAACATATTTGGAACCTATAAGACATAATATCACAACATACTGGTAATAACCAGGTGCTCCTCACAGGGGTTAGAACACTAATCAATCTCTGCCCTTCTTCCCACTGCTGAAGAAAAACCATATTGAAATCTGTTGAGTTTAATTTAAAATGTTTAGACAAGCCTGTGAAACAATGTCTTACACCAGTTAGACCAAAAATGAAGTGCCTTTGCTGAGGAGAAATAGCAGAGCTCCTCACCATAGACACACTATACAAACAGTAAGTTTGTATAGTGTGTGGGATCATCAGTGCAGGTGATATTTTTCAGCATATGGTATAAGGAGACTCTATTACTCTATAATAATATAACTTACAGTTATATATCAATCACTTTAATATAATTGAAACAGAGCTGAAGACCAGGATGCATCGAAGAAAAGCCTGGACCTTGTCTGGAGAACTGGAAGAATTGGTAACGGAACAATGTATGTGACTAGTTTCTTCGTAAATTCGTAAATCATCTTGAAGCTGTCTGGACCAACAAAAACTTTTTAAGTGTTCAGTAATTTTTTTTTTTCCCTGCTTGTTTCACATTATTCATAGTAAAAATGTGATCTAAGTTGGCAGATTAACATCCATCCATTTTCCATCACACTTATCCCAAGCTGGGTCACGAGGGGTGCTGGTGCCTATCTTCAGCTGTCTACGGGCGAGAGGCGGGGCACATACTGGACAGGTCGCCAGTCCACCAGGGCAACACAGACAACATGACAAACAACCATTCACACTCACACCTACAGTAAGGAGAATTTAGAGAAGCCAATTAACCTAACAGTCATGTTTTTGGACTGTGGGAGGAAGCTGGAGTACCCTGAGAGAACCTATGCATGCTCAGGAACAACATGCAAACTCCATGCAGAAAGTTGTACCCAGAACCTTCATGTTGCAAGGCAGCAGTGCTACCCACTGCGCCACTGACCAGCCCGGTAGATTAACATATTTTTATTTTAAAAAATGAAAACAATATCTATAGTGTTAAGTCCCAAAGTGTTCATACTGATGCAGTCATAAAGTATTTTAAGATTTCACAATTATTTTTTCCTTTCAACTAGAAGTAATGGTAAAGTTATAGTGGAAGACATTCTTTTTCCGAGGGATCCTCAAAATAAGTGGTCCTCCTAATTGTCAATCATTCTGGTGTTACATAAGGCCGTCCTACATGCTCGTCCCCATTTTCACTTACCAGTGGTGAGTCTGACATAGTTGAAAAATTGTAAATATTCTTTTGGAAAGTAAGCTTGTACGAGCGATACAAACAGCAACTTTTAAACAGAGCGTACAGAAGGAGAAACGGGCTCATGCACGCTCTCGCACACCTTTAATGCATGTTAAAGGTGTTCCCTCTCAGGAGTGGGTACAGGGTTGTGCATGTGCATTTTTTTTTTTTTAGTGAAAATCCTCCACTATACCTTTAATGCCCTCAAGTGGCCTCAACCGATCTTGACTTTGTGATGCCGTCCTTATTTCTGATTATAACTCTTTAAAACGCTAAATACATTTAACAAATGGACACATTCAGAGCTTTTCATTGAAATGTTTTTATTACATTTCCTTATGTGTAATCCTCCCTTAATAAAATAAAATGCCAGTTATTCACATATAATCATTGAGACAGATTAGGATAAATAAAATCATAAACCTGAATCATAAGTTTACTAATTATTTTTTTAAAGTCTTGGGTTTTAAAACACTTATCTTCAAAACAAAATAAAAGTATGTTGGTTAAAACTAGGATGACGATATTCTCATGTTTATTATTGCCTGTGAGGACTGACTGTGCATAATGAAGACAGATAAGGAAAATTTTAGGTGTATTTCAATTAATGAATCAAACTATAATTAAGGTGCTGCAGTCTGAGGCACTGTAGAGTTAGTATTTCCACAGGATGCAAACATGAGCTTCAGCCTCTGCAGGTTTGTTTCTTTCTCACTCATTGTTTTAAATTATTCAGTCTGTTTAATTTGACCTCTGATCAATAATCGACCGGTGGCAGTGTCACCATTTGGGTGAACTCTGCATACTTGATGTTGCCATTTGACCTGATGTTTGCTTCTCTGAAGAGTTCATCCACTGGGGAAAAAGAAAAGAATTAGCAGGATTAAACAAAGACTTAAATCAAGAGAAACCTTTACAATGCTCTATTTTGATATGGAGGAACGACAATAAAACCTCACAAAGTATTTTCTTGAAGTTCTTCAGGCTTTTTTTTTATCTCTTCAAGACTGCTCCCCTCTTAAAACATTTAAATATTTTTTAATACAGCTGGATGGAAAGAGCTAGCTTTTTTTTTTTCCTACTTGCTTTTATTCTGTTTTATTTTCCTATATTTTAACCATGGAGAGCACTTTGCATTGTCTTTGTACTGAATTGTGCTATACAAATAAATTTGCCTTGCCTTGCCTTTGAAAATCTGGGATATCAGCTTATATTTCTCCTGTTCTCCTCATAGACATTTAAATTCCTATGGCCTTTCTATAAATTAAACCACAATAGGGATGCTATAATGTCTTCTGTCATGAACTGTTGAAATCAAACTATTTTAGCATCAATTTATGTTCTTTATACAACATTGTATTTTTGAGTTAAACAAGCAAGATAAGATTAATAATTTTCTTTTTTGGAATGACAAGCAAAAAACTATTTGTATTTCAAATAAGCCAAGTATAGTAACTATTCTAATGAGTGTTACACTTACCAACGTACTATAAGTGACTAGTAGGCCTCTCCCAGACTGTGTTCTGTCCCTTATAAGCTAGTATTAACTTGCATATATTCCAGGTAAATCATTTAAATCAAACACAAAACAAGGACTGGATTATTTATGTTTGTATAATAAACTTGGAGATAATCTATGACCAAATGATAAATAAAAAGATCAAGCATTTCTTACAGAGACAAAAAAAAAGGCATCTACTTCAAGCCTTTATAATCAGACATTTTATAAGGTGTTACAACCTCTGGAAAATGTGTCCAAATACTGGATTACAGTAGTACAGTAAGTCGGCTCTACCTCCGCTGTTTGCATTTGTAAGGACTGTTGTCTGCTCTGACATTAATATTCAGTAGTTCAGGGATCCACTAACTGGATGGGTTTTTTTCCCGCTGAGTCTGAGTCTGGTTTTTTAAGTGTGAGCTGCTTAATGTGCATGGCAACCACCCACTGACAGTGCTTACATGAAGCCAGTAACTGTTTGAATTAGTGGGCTTTGAAAGGCTCAGAATCACCTCGGGAGATTTACCCAGACATTAGCATCCTTCTGTGTGTCATCGCATAAAATCTCTCAGCTTGGGATTCATAGTTGTTGCCTTCAGAAAACGATTCCCATGTGTGTGTGAAGTCTAGAGTGTTATTTAAAGAAAATTGTGGCAGTTTGAAAACTGTATTATACATTTTTTGTTAAATATATAGGTAATGCTGATTAATAGCACTAAAATACACTAAATGAAAAAACACTTCTAAGGAGCTAAATTTATCCGGACTCTTTAAATAGTAGAAAAGAGCAAGCTTGATACACGGTTAAGTAGTCTGTAAAAACTGCTCTCTGAAAATGTGCTGTTTGTTCTTTTAATGGGATCCTAAAGGACAGCTTCAGCTGAGCCTCCATCTATGTTGTATTGACCCAAGTTTTTAAGGAAGAACATAAGGAGGATTTAAGAAACACTCCTGATTAAGTTAAGGAAGGACAACTTTTCCAAGGTGTTTTGAAATGTATAATCTGCACAAAAAACAGCAGGATGCTGTATGAAAGCTAGTGTTAGATGTTATTTTTCATGGAATAGGCAGCATCTGTATTCTGTATATAGATCTAATTTGTGTGCACCATCAACACCAAGTCAAAATCCTTGTAAGTGCAAACCTACTTGGCAATAAACTTGATTCTAATTTGACTAATTATAACTTTCAACAATCAAACCTCACAGTTAGTGCATGAATCTAGAAATAAACAGCTACCAGACAACTTACATTTTAAAATCATAGGTGCCTGAACAACATGAAAAAATTTGCATTTTCCAATAAGTGGTGAAAGTATGAAACAAACCGTGTAAATTTAAAGCAATGTCCAAGCAATGATTTAAAATATGCTAAAAACAAACAGAGTGGTAATCAGTGGGTACACTAAAGCCTCTTTCCAACTGACAATAGCACGTTAAAGCATGTTTTTCCAACATAGGTCGACTGGTTAACAATCAGCATTTAGACTCCCTTCTCACTGGCAAAAAAAAAAGGTCTGACATATCACGGTAGATTATCGTTGAAGATGTCATCAGTGCGACTGAAATCAGGGAAGTAAACAATTGAGAGCTACATGTAAGGAAGCCAGGGTGCAGTCAGCGTGCTTTATAGTTTATATATCTAAATCCCTTTCCATGGTCATAAAGGGATGGCCATGGTAGCAACAATGCTCAGTTAGGCTGTAGCGCTGACGTGATTCTCAGTTGGGGTCCAAAGCGTGCCAAGAAAATACCCCCCACACCATTATAGCACCTTCACAAGCCTGACCTGTTGATGCAAGGCAGGACGGATCCGTGCTCATGTTTCCAATACTAAATTCTGATCCTACCATCCATAAGTCACTTCAGTCTCATCAGACCAGACGATGTTTTTTCAATCTTCTACTGTCCAATTTTGATGAACACAAGCGAAATGTAGCCTCAGTTTCCTGTTCTTAGATGACATGAGTGTCATCTTCTGCTCTTGCAGCCCATCAGCTTCATGGTCCTCAAGGTTCAGAGATGCGTACCTCTGTTATAATAGCGTGGTCTTTTGAGCAACTGTTGCAATTTTATCAGCTTGAGCCAGTCTGGCCATTATCCTTTAACCTCTGGTTTCACTTGCTCTCAGAGAACTGCCACTCACTGGACAGTTTTCTTTTTAAGACCATTCTCTGTAAACCCTAGAGATGACTTCTGACAGACGTCAGATGTCTGGCACCAACAACCATGACACGTTCAAAGTCCCTTAAATCACCTTTCTTCCCTATTCTCCTGCAGCAGATCGTCTTGACCATGTACACATGCCTAAATGTATTGAGTTGCTGGCTGATTAGAAACTCCATTAACAAGCAACTGGACAGGTGTACCCAATAAAGTGGCCTGTCGTGTATATGTACATACATTAATTGATTTGGTCACTTTATGGACTTTGGATAAGTATGGACTTATAAAGTGCGAATCAGGAAGATTGTTGGTGTTAAGGACTAAATGAAAGGGGAGGGTTTATATAAAATGTATAATATAAAAAGTGTAATATAATATATTGTGTAATATTAAAAGTTTTACTGCTCTCAACACCCACATTGAGTCTATCAGGTGCTTGCAAAAACAGTTTTGTTTCAAACACTAATGTTTTATTAATGCTCTGGGTCAATACGTATCTACATCTCAGTATTGAACATTTCTTAACATAATTGTGACAATAAACTGGTCAACTAACAATAGCTTTAGTATTAGTTGGAACAACAAGTGCCCATTAAGTTATTTTATTACTCTCATACTGTTACAGCTAACAACACTGGTTACTGTCTCTCGAATGTTTTTTACTGCTTTAATAAAGTGACAATAAACATCAGGCACCGCAAGGAAGGGCAGAGGGAGCTCAGGGTGTTGGCTTAATACCACATTGCAGTAAAAAAAAAAAATATATATATATATATTAATTTATAGGATAAATAGGTTTTTGGACACGGAGAGGGTGTTTGGACAGATGGGGAGGGAGCTTTTACCAATCATGACAGATTGAAATGAACAGCTTGTAGTCAGAGAGTCACAGAGCTGAGTTCAAAAGCCAAACTCGCTGTGGACAACTTTTTCTATTAAGAAAACTGTTTACGACACAGAAAAAATCTGAAAATAACTTTTGTGGTAAATAAATTTAAGACAGGAGAGACAATGTGGGATATAATGAATAATTTTTTTGTCTTAGTTTCTGTCTTTTCTTAGAGTACCGGTAATATAACAAATGTGAGAAAATGCCATTTTGCCAATTCTTTAAAACAACCTATCTCTACTACCTAAATGCTATATTTTAATAAAATATTCATGCATTTACCTTATTTAACATTTTGATAAACTGCTCTACAGTAGTGAAGTTTTTTAACTATTGTTCATGTGAGATATTCAAATTTGTAATTACAGATTTAGGGCTATATCAACTCAGTGAGTCAGTTTTCCAGCATATTTACCTTCTCTGTTAGTGAGTTTTTCTCCTAATGTGGTAAGTTTGGCCCGCAGCTCAGACGCCTGGATATATCCTCTCTTCTGCTTGTCCGTCATCCTAAAGGCCTCCAGGATTTCGTTCTTCGGATCCTCTTGCTGCATCTGTCTGTGCATCATGATCAGGAACGTAGAGAAGTCTACCTCTCCTTTTTTTCCTGAACAGACATTTTATTTACAATTCAACAGTTATTGCTGCAAATATTTGAGCATGAATGTTTTCTAACTTCAACATAAATAATGGATGTTAGGATTTAAAGTACTGTACAAATATTTCAAACCAGCTGTAGTTACTAATATTCCAATAAGTCTAACTTTCTTGTGTCCTTTTCAAAGTTTATCTAAATAATAATAATAATAAATATGCATCAGTATATGCAGTTACTAAGTGCTGTTTAGGATTAAACAAATAAAAGGAAAAAAATCAGAGAATTAAAATAGGGTCTGTGAGATGTCAGGCTAATGGTTAATCTCTCCTTGTTGGTAGCAAAATCCCATTTTCTATCGTTCAACTTGGATTTTCTTGGAGATTCAGAAATAGATTAAAGTTGCAAAATGCATCTGATTATTTCGCCCCTTCTGCTGGTGGTGCACCCTTGGAAAGAGGGATCTATGTGTTTTCCTTTGGGCTGTGCCCACCCAGGCACCTTAGGTGTAAGCCCATCCACCAAACACTAACACGCCTGACTCCTTGGTGAGGCTTGGTGTCCCACGTTCGCCTGAAGGAAGCCTTTTCATTTAGGTTTCTCATCATAAGCGGTCTTTGGGCTGCACTTTGTCTGGCCCAACACTGGGGATCTGCCTGTCTTGGCTGACCCTTTATGGGGCATGAAAGCCTTAACAGCATATCTCCTTAGATCATTGGGATATGCAAACCCACCTATCATGGTAAGGTTGCAGCCCAGAGCCTTAAGATCCCTCTTAGCTATTTTGGCTTTCAGAGTAGAAATCAATTGATTGACTTAAGAAGCTGTTTTCTACCAGAAGGTAGGTCAGGTTCTTAACTTGCATCGACTTAAAAAATGAACAAAGTCCAAGGAAACGCCCATAGAACCACTGATCAAGACCATTTTTATATTCTGAGAAAGTGTGAGTAATGCAAAGCAAAAATAAAAAATCACTTTAGCTTTCTTAAGGCTTCTACTGTTCTTATGTCTTTATTGGTTTGGAACATATTCCAAAGGTTAGTTCTTCACTTCTGTTAACAATTTCATTCCCACCAAACAAGACTGTCCTCCATGGCGTACCTCATGGTTCAGTTATCGAACATTATACTTCAATCTTTATTATATATCTTCATCTGCAAGAACACCTTGGCTTTAACTTACCTATTTTATGAACTTGAAGATGTCGTTCTATTTCCCCCGGTGTGGGGCTTGAACCCAGGCAGCGCATAACTGTTATCAGATCTTTGGAATCGATTTTACCCTTCAGTTTTTTGTCATACAGGGAGAAGCATTCTTTAAACTCTGCAAAAAGAAAATCCAGCTAAATTTTATCAGAAAAAAAGACAGTTCCTGAGCACACTGAGGAAGCCTGTTCATTTTACAACACATCAATTAATACGACTCTTTAAAGTATCTACCTGATCTCAGAATTTGAATTTCTTTGTACCAATAAATTGTTTCTAAATGAATTGTATAATAAACTACGGCAAAAAAAGGAAAATTCACAAATAACTCTTACCGCTGATTTGAGCTGGTGTAAAGAATTTAGCCTGTAGGACGACAAAGACTTCAGTTGTCATATAAACAAGACTGATGCATTTTGGAAAGCACAAAAAGCACTTGAAATTAAATACTTTCTTTTTTCTTACCATTTCTAAAGCTGTTAGTTTTCCCTCCAGGAAGAAGAGTGAGCTCTATAACTAACGTCACCGGTGCCTCCACCTGTCTAAAGTCCGCTGGCGTTAGATTGCAGTGCAATTTAATACGTGTTGCTGTGGAAACACTGATACCAGATCCAACAAGCTGTATTTGCCTCTTCCTTACCACTCTTAAATAACAAAGGAGTCAATAATACATGTGAATTACCAGAAATTTCAACATGAAAGGTTTGTGATTATGTTAGAAACAAATGGTTATATATTTAAGGCCTATTTTAAGCTAAGTAATTTAGTCACAGCTGTGGAGGGGAGTCAAAATGGTTGTTTGTCTCCATCCCTTATCACTGGGGCGTGTGCACCCTGCAGCTTTCCAAAGGCCCCAATCCCCTTCAGCTTAACAGCAGGTGTAATGGACAAAACTAGGGCAACAATGAGATGAAATAACACAATCCACTGGTGATATACTCTATACATCCTATGTTCCAGTCTAGTCAAAGCCTAAAAGATACCACATTAAAAGAAAGAAGGAGAAAGGGGAACTTTGATTGTAGTTAACAACAAACCACAGATTTATTTCCTTTGCTATAAATTTGTACTTTTATGAAGAAGACAAATGAAGAATATTGTATTTCCAAAATAAAAACAGTAATGTCTATATGCAACTAATATCATTATATTTGTAAGATGTGGGACAATTGATTAATGAAGTAAATACTGATCATCCAAGGTGAAATCTATATTGGAATTAACTAAAAAAGATCAAACGTCTTAATTTAACACCACCTTGGAAATACATTGGTGCTTATAATTTCTACATCTCATCCTCTACCAAACAGTAATAAAATATTAAATGTTTAAATGGTACTTAAGAGGAAGCCGATTTTGATAAAAAAAAAAAAAAAAAAAAAAAAAAAAGGGATCCTAAATCAGGACTTTGTGGCAAACTATAGAACAGAGAAGTGCAGGAAAACTTAAAAGCAGCCATCGGCAAGGATTTTTCAGTCAAAATTCTGAGAAAACTGCTCCAAAGTACATCTCATTTCAACCAATTAGTTAATCGATCAAATTGTAGTCAGCGGTATAAAAAGCTGAGCAGATCCAACAGAAGCAGACAGGAAGATTCTCATGGATTTGGACCATTTCCACACCGCCTACAAGGCTCATTTTGATTGTAATCTCCCATAGATCTATACATTCGCTTTTATGCAGCTCTACTTTGTCAGCCTGCCGATGATAATTTGCTCTCTTTGAGAGTTGTGCCAAAAATGCCTGTCTTCTGCTTTGCAATCCTTCAAAGTGAGAATTCATGCATCTCTGAACAAGATCCAGATGTTGGATGTTACTAAATCCCTTCTCTCAACATCTGGTGCACAGAGTGAAAACAGAGCAGTGGAGGATATAAGAGCGCCACATTAATTTACACGGCTTCCTGTTGAATGCCTTTGGCCAAGCAGAGCCACTCCCCTCTGTGTTAATATGCTGTAAATGTTTGACCTGAAACAGATGGTGTGAAGAAACAAACTGCGCTCCATCCTGTCTCGGTTTTAGTTGGATTTTATATTTCACAAAAATAATGAAAAAGGATGTATATTTTCCTGAGAGTGTCTGGAATTACGTTTGTTTCCCACTTGTGAGCCACAGAGAGGCAGCTGTGTTTCCTCTGAGTTGGTAAAAGATTTATGTCAGTGCATTTCGCAAGAGAACAAACGGATAGTTTGAGGAGAAGACTTTGCCTCATGCATTTGCTGCTGTTTCTCTGGTATATTCCCACAAGTAAAGGAGCCAGAGTCCTTTGTAAAAAATTATTGCAAACCTTTATTCAAAGAATACAGTGTTCTCATGGCATACATCTTTAAAAATATTCAATTTATTACAGATATGCAGCTGTTTTACGTGTGGTAGGTAACTAAACTGAAAATGAGACACTGACATCCTTTAAGCGGGTAAATATACAGTGATTTACTTTGAACTTTAAAAAAGGAAAAGTCCTCAAAAATATTTAAAAATCTTAATAACACCTAAAACACTTTTTTTTTCTTAGAATTTTTTTGTCTCTGTGTTGCAGCAGCGCTCAGCAGGTATCAGAGATGACCTCAATACTGTCTGGGAGTAGATTTAATCTCCGTTCCATGAACTGCGCTTCAAAAACAAAAGGTCACCTTATGAAAACCTGTTTCTCCCATTTCTTTAGAATTTGAACACTTTGTTTCACTGGCTTTTTCTTATGTGTAAAGAGTAGTAGGACCAGGGCTCTGGAACATAAAGAAAGTTGGGGTATTTTTTGCGAAGCACCGGGTCGTTCCACAGATAGGCCACCCACAGAGACACCAGCAGCACAGTAATGCTGAAGCTATAAAAAAGAAAAGAGCCATTGCAGTCTGGGCCCAGGCCTTTACGATGTTGAAAAATCATCATGGCAAACATGGCGAGGAAAGTAAGGAGGAAGAGTTCGGTGATTTGCCCCTCAGTGACCAGGTACCTTTGAGAGAAGGAGGAGAAACAGAGTTTATTCTTCCAACATGTTATTTTGTTAAGCAATCAAAGGCAAAATGATAAAGTGACTATGATTAAAATGTGAAATCTAATTAATATTCCAAATGCTAAACCAATTATCATTGGACCAGAATCAAACTGTCGTCAAAGTTTCTACCTAGAAAAATATTAACAGGACCGAGTTTAATGGCAGGTTCATCTAGGGCTGTATGATATCAGGAAAATATGCACTAATGTTGGTTAATGTGGCGATGATGATGATAAGCCTTGCATTCCATTAAAAACAAGATATTCATCTAACCATGATCTTTCTGCTTTGGTTTGAATAAAAATATTGACTTTGGCTAGAAAGTGCAGGCAGGAGGAGAGGAGGAAAAATTCTTTACTTTGAGTCGAACAAGGTTTTAAAGAAAGTGTGCAAATCATAACAGCTGCAGATTAGGTAATCAAACCTGCATGGATATAAGGAGTGAGACCAACGTTTCCTTAAACAAAAAGAATTATAGTGTCGAATGCGGTTGTGAGAAACTGGGACACTCCAATAAATATTTGCTTAAATTAACTAAACAGTCTGATGTCATTTATTCAGGTTTATATAATTTTTTTTCTTGTTAATGTAGGTTAAGAAATGTGCGTTACATCCTCAAATTCTCATGGAAGCTTAAAGGTTTGCACACTTTCCTGCAACTATCATTTTTATACATTTGCATTTTTGATGTTACAGTATACATGAGGCCCCTGGTCCTGCTCCTGCAAGGCATCCTCAAACCATCATACTTCTGGCTTTATGCTTCGGCCACCATTATTTTCCTTTGGTTTTATGTCCTTTAGTTTATGGTGTAATCTAAATTTTGGGTTTGTCTTTTATAAAAACAAAAAAAAACTCTTTATGTTCTGAGCTCTGTCCAGCTGCTACATGTTATTCACAGAGAGCAACCATTTCATCTCTGCACATATCCCATATATGTGTATTATGTTTGCAGTCTCTTTGTACGCTTCTTTTAATATCTTGCCACTTACTTTCAGGATAAACTACCTTGGACGACTAGATTTGGGTTTGTCAGCCAATTTCTTCTTTTTTGATATATTTTCTAATAGTTTCCTGATAAATCTGACTAAATCATTCCAAGCTGTCCTCCAGATTTGAAATATGTTACTTAGGTCAGCAAACTGTTGTGTTTTTAAACTGCAGACCACAGCATCATTCTGTCAGGCTATTAGTGCCCTAAAGCATACCAGTTGTCACCCTCAGCAATCACATTTAGCAATCCCTGTTTGCCAGCAGCATCTCTGTGTCATCATTATTTGTAATCCACTGTAACGGGAACTATAAACACATTCGTCACTAAGACTTTGGCAGATGCATGTTTCTCTGTCACAGCATCATGACATGGTTTGGCAAGACAGAGTACTGAGAAGGGAGCAGCAGAGAAAAGCTGGAGAAAAGCCAGTTAGATGTTGGTCTGTAGAAAAGTGCCGTGTGACTCTGTGTGTGGCTCTATGGGAAAGATATGGTTGTTTAAATATGTTGGAAGTATGCTATTGATGATGATGAACTTTATTGTCCCAGAGGAAATTTATCTTGGGTGCAGACTCTGGCTGCTACATAGTCCAAATAGTGTGTCACACTACATTCACACATAAAACGCTGCTATAGAATTTAAATTATAAAAAAGATAAATACATTAAAGAAGCATGTTACATTACATTCACAATTTATATATATAAATAAAGACCCTACTATACAGAATCCGTTATAAGATGAATACATAAAAGAAGCATGTCAGTTTAGTTTAAAATGTTGGATACTATTGTCTATTTCACCATTTACTGTTGGATACTGTTTATTGTTTTGATGGAAAGCGGAACAATTAGTTCTTATAGCTTATATTGTTTGGTTTTTCAGGTGTCTGCTTCATCGAATGTACAGAGTATTTTAACAGGACGGTGTAGATAAGTCTGTAATAAACTCAACAGTTCTCACTGATTTTTTTTGGTTTAATAATAATAAAAAAAATCGAATTTTAAAGGTGTGAATCAATACATTTAAATATTATTCAAAGTAGAATTAATTCTGAAAATCAGTTTAAATTAGATTGGCTGGTCAGTGCTGCAGTGGGGAGCACTGCTGCCTTGCAGCAAGAAGGTCCTGGGTTTGATTCTCGGCCCGGGGTTTTTCTGCATGGAGTTTGCATGTTCTCCCTGAGCATGCGTGGGTTCTCTCCGGGTACTCCAGTTTGATCCCAGTCCAAAAACATGACCGTTAGGTTAATGGGCTTCTCTAAATTCTCCCTAGGTGTGAGTGTGTGCGAGAATGGTTGTTTGCTGTGTGTCTCTGTGTTGCCCCATGAAAGGCTGGTGACCTGTCCAGGGTGGACCCCATAGACAACTGGAGACAGGCACCAACACCCCCCGTTGACCCCGCTTGGGATAAGCCTGAAGGAAAATGGATGGATGGATGTTTAAATTAGAATCTTATATAGAGTCCTTCCACAGAAGGACATAACAAGATTGGAGAAGTATGTCTTAAACTTAGTGAAGACTCAAAATGTTTTTTCTTAAACATTAAAATATAACATACAGGAAGTTTTATCAAGAAATGTTATATAGAGGTGAGATTATTGCCCACACGATCAGTGAATGTCTGCTACATAAGTGTCTGGACAGCAGACGCCCTCCACTACACTGAAAAGGTTGTTGCTTAAGAAAGACGCTCTTTAAAGTGCTGTATGTAGATGTAATATAAACATTTAGTGGGAAGAAAATCTGGTAGAAAATGTACACAAGCAACATGGGAAATATTCATATTCAGAGGATTAAAACAAAGTTTGGGGGAGATTTAAAGTTTGTGGGCTTCAGCTAAATTTGGTGTTTAAGAAACCAGGAATCTTCTGGATGATTTAGATCTGTGGTGATCTGGATATGTACTAATTCCAGCTTTGAAGATCCAAAGTGTATTCTTTAGTTACATTGTTAAGGACTATCAGCATGATCTCATAATTACCCTGTAGTGATTTTAGTTATGTTTTGATACATAGAAAATTATTTTAAAAGTCAAAATCTAACTTTATATGTCTTTCATAAAGAATTGTTACTCCTCTTCCAATCACTGAAAAAAGCAAACCGCTGTGAAACTCTTCGACATAAAGAACCCTAATATTATGGAAAACCCTTAAATAAACATTACTATGTTTCCTGTTTAATTTCACGATTACTCTGTCTTTATTACCTCCACCAAGGAGGTGATGATTTCAGTCGTGTTTGTCTCTCTGTTAGCAGGATTTATTCAAAAGTTATGAACAGATTTTCATAAAATTTTCAACCAATTAACAATCAGTTACAGTTTGGGGATGATCCAGATAATGATCAGGAAACAGGATTCTTTAAAGCATCAAAAGACTTAGACAGTTTTATCTATAAAAACATAAGGAAGGGAGCCATGCCTCACTGGAAGTCTCATTCTGCTGACTGAAGAAGAAAGCCGAGCGGATGAAGTAGGTGAGAGCAGAACAGACACCAGAGGCTGCAGGGCTTTTTACCAGAGGTGTTCCTCATGCCAAGGAACAATTCATTAACATATCGTAATAATCCAGATCATGATAGTTTTCACTTAAGGTGTACTGTACAATATGGGGCGAATTTCACTTGCCGGAAGTCTGCGCCCTAGGAGTGCTTTTGTTGTTTATTATTAAGTTAGATCATGCTTTACATTAGCATGGCTTATAATTGCTAATATTTATTATGTTTATATTGATATGTCTGATCACCTGACTGTAATTAACTTTATCCACAACTTCAATAAAAAAAACTAAATGACATCATATGTTTCCAGGATCTGAGCAGCTAACTGTCACATTTCTTATGTTTCGAGGTTCCTGAACCAGGAAATAAATTATTGTTTTATAATAGGAAAAAAGAACAAGATTGTTTCTTTGTGTTACAACATCTTCTTTCAAATGAAACGAATGCTTGCATTTCATTTGGAAATTAGGTCCCACACTCTGGGAGAGGAAAGTAGAGACAGAATCCACATTTTTTCAAGGCCAGTGTGAAATTTCTACGGTTAGTGAGGATTTGGATGCAGTCTCATCTGCTGGCTTTGGTTCACTGGGTTTTCTAAAGTCCAAACTCCTCATAGCTATCCATCAGGATATTTTTACGAGAGGTCATGCTTCCTTCTGCTGAGCAGGTTTACAGAGATGCTGGTTTCATTTCTAAGCAGGACTTGGTCCCTGGCAACACTGCCTCAGGCTCTCATCTAAAAAGCTTTAATGATTGACGAGGAAACCGTTTTTATTAAACCTGAGCAGAACCACAGACTGATCTCCTTCATGCTACGCTGCAATGATGCAATACTTCACATTAAAGGAGCCCTGATTAGGTAATCAGTGTGTTTACAGCACATGGACAGACTCATGAGTATGATCACCAGTGTGAGACACACACTGGTGATCATAGTGTGATTCATTCCTTATTCATTTGGTCATATGGGATTTAATTAGCTGTAAACCATAATTATCAAAGTTAAAAGAAATTAAAGATTAAGATAATTCTGTGTGGAATGAAGCAACACAATATGTTTCACTTTTCCAATTGTTGAAATATAGGCCGTTTTTCTGTGAGATGCACTTTTAATTAACGTGGAATTAAATCAAAATTACATATAAGTCGTTCACAATGTTTCCAATGTGCATGATGAGGAATCCCATCAAAAACTGACCAATAGTAGAGAGCGCTGGGTCCCAGTAACAGCCAACCTGAGATGGGGATTTTCTTCTGATCCTCTGACTTTGAGAAGCAGCCACTGAAGTAGAATAACAGAATGATGAAGAATGGGATATACCTGAAAGAAAAGAAACATGCTCTTAAATGAACATTTCCTGCTCACCTTACATTTTGTAGAATGGTGATGTACTTAGAGTGCAGTTTGGTTTAAATCTACATAATTGCACCAAATGGCTCCATCAAAGATCCGTCGCTAATCTCTGCCAAGGCTGTGGCACTTTAAAAACAAGTGAAAGCGGCGGAAAGATAAAAAGCATTAACGGTAGCCACGAGACAGACTAAAGATAATTGAATACGTTAATTGAAATGAACGGTTTTTAAACCAAAGAAGAGTAAAAACTTTACTGAAAAGAAACTTCAACTGCGCAACTTTTCAACTCAATCAGCAGCAACATTCATCAGATGTAATTTAAACAGCAGGAGGACCTTATTTACACAACCGTGTTGGTGCAACACAAGTGGAACAAACTTAAAAACTAATAAAGTGTATTAAAGCAGAGCCTCTCCAGCCTTAAACTTGCATTATATAATACCGTAAGACTCATATAATGCAGTCCATTATATATGGACTTTGCTTCATGCTGCTTACATAGATTCATACTGATCACTGCTCATCGGACATCAAGGTCAGACATCTATTCAAATGTGAGGAAATCATATGGTTCTTATTGAAGGTCATGAAGCTGTTCAACTGATATCTATTCAAATGCAATCCACCAGATACAGCAGGAAGTTTATATTATATTCGCTTCGATGAGGAAAGCAAAGGAACTTTATATATTTTCCAATAGTGTCTCTTAAAAGATAAGTATAGGATTGTGGAAGACATATTAACCAGCTGTCAGCCTGCGACCGGGAGAATGGCCTTATAAAAAATGTAAGACAATATTTCTCAGAATTCTTTGTCCTTTTCTCCTCCTCTTTAAACATGCTGAACTAATGATTGGTAATTAATGAAAAAGTGAAGGTTAACTCCAGGAGATTTGATGTTGCAGCCGCAGTCATTAGAGTCATCCGAATGTATTCACTTAAAATGTAAAAAAGGAATTTAGATGCCAGTCTATGTTTTGTACTTGACATCCTGGTTAGTAATTAGATAAGTGAATGAAGGTTGGGGTGCTGTAATAAAGTTACCATGATCTTACATCAAACTCCATCAAGAACCAAACATTTGTTGAATGCTTGAAATGCAAAAAGATTGACCTGCTGTCAAACCATTTACTGTTCTGCATCTCGGTATTTGGAAAAAATATATATATACACTGTATATAAATGACAAACCTTGTGAAATAAAATAGGGCTACAGCTACCAATTATTTTAGTTTTTTAAATAATGTAGTCTTTTTTTCCCATTGTTTCTAGCAGGAAATATTCTTAGCAAACTAATTTATCTTAATTGTGAGTTTGAGCTAAAAAGAAAAAAAACACACCTGTTTGATATTTTAAATGAATTAAAATGGCTATGTAAAAGAAGTTCAATAGTTTGATAGTTCCGAAACTTTTTACCTTCTGACCAATTGACCAAATTATTGGTCAATTATAAAAAAAAAAGAAAAGTGAATTAAACAAAGAAACCAAAGAAGCTGGTTTTATCCATTTTTAAGTGATGCCTTTATATCTTTGAGAACTTATTTATTTATGTTTTTATCATTTCATTTCATTTCTGTATTGGATCTAAAGACCCCCAACCTTTAACTAAGTACCACATCTGGGGTCCAGCCATCAATTATTATTTAACTAAGTTGATGATCATTTAAATATCTGACTAATCACAATGAAAAGGATTAATAGTGCTAACATAATGTCCTGTCTTTAAATTATGCTTTTGAAACACCCATTGTTATGGATATATGGTATATCTAACTTATGCAGTGAAATTCACAGTCCTCTGCTGCATCCTGCAGTCTGGTTACTTCACCTTTCCCAGTCCTTTTATTTATTTTTATCTCTATTTATTATGTATTAAAGCAATAAATGGGCAAATGGAAATGAAAACTCGAATCCCAAGCTTCAACAAGGTGCTTGGACCATTAGGAGAAGAGGCTCTCATGACTCTGGCGGAGCTGATTTCCGTGGTTCAGCGCAGACAGATTTAGGTTTTTTCAGTGCTGGTTTCTTCTACTATATTTGACATTTTATTTAAGACTTTATTCCATGTTATTTTGAGTGAAGGTGCTGGTCCCTGCTAAAATGAGCACAGTTTGTAGCACGGGACACATTTGAATAATTTCAAACACTCAGAACTGGACACTCGGGCAGAGATTAGAACTGAATTTTGATGAGGTGCAAAAATGCCTGTGATAATAAATCCTCCCTTTAATTTCTCCACAGAACTAGGGCAGATGTAAAAGCTTCAGCCTACTTTGGACCAGGCCAGGATGCTTTGGAAATAACCTCATATTTCAGTAATGGTTTCTTATTCAAAGAATAACATCTTATATTTATTAGAATTTTTTGCCAAAACACAGATATTGTCTGTGCCCTCCGTCTCTGTGTTTGTACCAACATAATCTACATTTAAACAGAAACAGATCATGACTCACTGCATAAAAACATATTCCGTATCCTGCAACATTTTAGAACACATTATGCAATAACCCTAAACACATACCACATTAAGTGTCCCAAGTGTTCATCGTAATAATACAGCAGCTCAAAGGAATCAATCTGTGAAGGAAGAGCAGAAACAATGGATCAATGACTGGAGCTCATCCAGCATCTGTAGATAAGTTCAACCAACAGTCCCTAAAGCTGAAACAGTGCGTTTCAGCTTTAGACAACATTGCCACCTACTGGTGTAGTACTCACCCTTATTCTGCTTTATTTCAAACCCACATTTATATAGAGTGCAAAAACATGGAGGCAGCAGAGTATGAAAAAAATGGGGGTGGAAAGATAACAGATGCACATATTTTCAAACACTGCAGAAGGGATTAATTAGGAAGAAATTGTCTGAGTCACATTTGGCCCCTAATTATATGATTTTACCACAGAGAACCACAGAGAGCAGATCCTTAAAGAAAATATTCACACACTTAAACTAATTATTATATTAATGCACAAATTGCAACATTTTGATTTATTATTTTTTTATAACTTAACCCTTACAGTTTAGGATTTTAAGTCCAACCCTAATGTTTAAGATCTACAGAGAAATATAATCTAAGCAAATACAAAATTACATATGGAAAAAGCAAAATCTACCCAAACCATCACTCCTAACGAGACACTGTCTGCTCTTTTTACATTGAAAGAGCCTATTTACTGTATGGAGGTCTAAAAGGATCTCCATTAACAAAGGAATTATCATTTTAGTACCAATTTTTGGATTCCCTTCAGGTTCTTTCTTTTTGTGCTTAGAATCTAAACAATTTCAGTGTGATTTAAAAAAAAAAGGCAGATGAAACCTATGAGAGGATATCATTTTCATAACACAGTTGTTTTGTTATCATTTATTGAACAGTATTATTACACACTGTTCAATAAATGATTAGTGTTTTAAATTAAGAGTCATTTTCATTTGAATGTGCTTTACTGGAGGCATCCATGTTTGTCAAAGAGCACTACTGCCACCTACCGGTTTGTGACGTCACGGTGTGGTATCGTCTGTTGATCAAGTCCCAATGCTGTATCTGGTGTTTGTCACAACGCCTTATTATCCAAGTCATCTTGAAAACATTCTTCTTCGAAATGTTGGACTTTTTTTTTTCTGTGGCTAGTAGTTTGATGGTAAATCCTCCCTCTTCAAGATGGTAATCCAATGAAGAACCCGTCCGTGGAGGATCATGAATCGAAAAGGTGAAATAACTTTTTTATTTTTTTTTTTTTTACTTTTAATTGATGTATTCCAACATTCAACTGCCATGCACATGGGCGTTGTCAGTTAAACTATAGCTCTGGTGAATTTCAATGGTGAAGTCCTCTGAAAATCTTCAATAATTGTTGTTGATTGCAGATGTGTCTAGTAGTTCCCATTGATTTTGCTTGTAAAGCGGGTTGAATGGCACTAGGCTTACCTCACCGTGACGTCACTGCTGGAAGATGGCAGGAGTGAGGGGTTACTGTATTTGGGCAAAAGCAGCCGCTCAGTGATCGTAACGAATATTGTTTTTATTTCTTTACTGATTAATGCTAAATTCATTAAATCACCGGAAACTTATTAGTTTTAGGGATAAATAATGATTCATTGATTATTTCTTGCTGACCAGACTTTTCCTTTAAGCTTCAATATATAATAGTCCACTATCTCAACATCCAGGGGGTGGACATAGAGATAGTGGACAAACTGGACTGGACTCACAATACTGAGGCTCTTTATAAGAAAGGTCAGAGCAGACTCTTCCTGCTGAGAGACTGAGGACCTTTTATAACTCTGCTGTGGCATCAGCCATCTTCTATGGAGCTGCCTGTTGAAGCAGTGGCTTATCTGTAGCTGAGAGAAATTGGCTGGATCAGCTGATCAGGAAGGCCAGCTCTGTGATTGGATGCCCTCTGGACTCAGTGCAGGAGGTGGAAAACAAAAGGATCCTAACTAAATGATCTCTGTTGGATAATGTCTCCCACCCCATGCATGAAGCTGTTGCTAAACTGGCGAGCTCCTTCTGTGACAGACTGCTGCACCCTAAATGCACCAGGGAGCGTTATCACAAATCCTTCCTCCCAGCAGCTGGAAGACTTTATAACCACCACTGTTCCCAACAATCTCAATAAGTTGTTACATTTCTGCTGATTTTTGCACAGTTTCTATCTTAGTCAGTTAAATAACATGCTGCTGTCATTTTGCACATCTCTTATGTTGCTGCTATTTTTAAATATCCATTACTGTAAAAATA